GATGTCTAGTTTAATATGATTATTAGACTATGATTCTGAAGTAAATTTCATGAAAATATTCAAACATATTTTTAGCATTTGAAAATTTATAAATTATTTCCTTAATTCTTTCAGCATAACCATATGTAACAGAATTATAAATTTAAAAATATCAAACACTAGGGAATCACAAAATTTTGCTGAATAACAGCATTACAGTAAAGACTTTCCGAATATGAGTTTTACGTCATTATACATTGCACATACAGCAAGATTACATTCCGCAGAGTTAACTTCCTGTAGGAAAAACGTGTTAAGTATAATTCAGATTAAGAAATTATTTGTAATTTAAACAAATCTAAATTTGTGACAGCAGTTTCAGCACTATACTCAAATAGATTTGTAAAAACAAAGTCTCCTTTTTTTATGATCCTTATAGAGTAAAACTTCCAAATAATAAAATGTTAAGTTAAACGAAAAATGTTTATCATTACATATCGATTTCGGTAACATAAAAGATTAATATGTTTTTTATAGAAGTTTCAAAATCGACAATTAATGTTGTTTTTCCCTCTATAGTTTTGTTAATTGCCATTATAAGATATTTGTGTTTCACATTTGTTCCATGGAGTTCAAGAGCTTTTTAAGAAATATTTTATTTCATTAAAAATATCCATTCGAGAGTGATGCAGCTTTACAAATTTATTTTGTAATACATTGTAAATTTCTACATCTTATTTTAAGACACTTTAGAAATTCATATATGAGACTAACGTTTTAAGAAATAGTCTGTTGCTACTTTTTTCAAACACCATGTATATATTTATATTATGCTTTTATAATACTGAAGTAATGATATTATGTTTTTCTCTGCATATGTGTGTGTATGTGCAATTGTATAAAAACAAATAACATAGTCTCTAAGCGTGCTCTGATTTTGAGAGTGGAGGGACATTACTGCATTGAAAAAATATAAACTTGCTTCTGTCATGCAGTTTTGAAATCTCTTACAATCTATTGTAAAAGTGTAATTTATACCAGTTGGAAACAGTTATAGATTTCAAAAGTATGTGACATATGTAGGTTTTATTTTTTCAATGGAGTAATGCTATTTCACTCTCAAAATGAAAGTATGTTTAGAGACTATATGTGATCTGTTTTCATGCATTGGTATACTGTTCAGCTAGCATGGTGTTAAAGTCTTTGTTAATTGCTTCAAATTCCCAGTTTTTGAAATAGCATGAGTGTAGACTTTATCTTTAATATAACCTCAAAGGGAAAATTTATGCTAGTGTCAGAAGAGAGACCTGAGACAAACATTCCATTAGTCTGTGCCTTCTAGTCCATCGCAGTGTGAAAAACTCTCCAATTTATATGTTGCTAGATGCATCTGTTTAAAACTGATTGATATTTGCTAATCCTCCATCATCATGTGGGTCTTATTATGATAGTTTTTCTTTTTTTGATTTGATATCAAACTGGTTTAATCATGATATGTAATGAGATAAGAAAAAAAATACAAGGAACAAACAAATAATTTAATGTCATCATTTGGGCATATTTTAAAGTCATAGCAAATTTTTTTTTTTTTTTTTTTTTGTTTGTGTGTTTGGTGGGGTGCATGTTCAGATGTTATAATGCCTGTTTCTAGTATATAAATCCTCAAGCATTTAGTTTCAGGATTGTTTGTTGTACTGGCAGGCCGTCATTATAAAACAACATAGACAGAAATTCATATTAATCCGGGAGAGTACACGCAAAGGGAAATATATCTAATTGTTATAAAGTTCTTTCAGTGGAAAAGAATCTTTCATAAAGTATAATTTGCATACTTGATCAATTACTAAGTCTTCCTTAGGCTTCTAATATTTTTGTATGAGCTCTACATTCACCATTCCAAAGTTAACCCTACACTGCATGGTTTTGCTTTTTGCCAACGTAAATTTTGATTTTTTTAAATAAAAGTACCTATGTCATTTCCAGTTAGAAATATTGCACGTCTTGAGAATATTCACATGTCTTCTTAGCATGTAGTTATTAGCAGCAGTCATGAGGTGCTTTATTAGTTGATAGTGTGGTAGCGAGTATTGGCAAATTGTGTGTACATTATATTCATAATATATTTCAGGACTGTCATGAGTTTTGCTGTTTCAAATATCATTTTGATATTAGATATGTGTGGTCGAAACATAGGTCGAAAAATTAGTATTGGCCTTGACCAGCACTCTGGATATATAAAATTCTGTGTTGCTGTTTAGTAACATGTATTGTGCCAGAGTGTGTTGTTACTTATATAAATCAGTTAACTGCTCATTTTTTGTGCATTGCACATTGTTTGTGGGGTTTTATGCATTATGAGTTTTACATAGCAAAATGGGAAGCGAGAAAGTTTTTATTATAGAAAAGAGGAGTCAGTTGAAGTGAACTGACAAATAAAGTAGCTTTAAATGCCAGAGTCTAGTGACAATGACTGTAAAAGTGAGAACAATGACAAAACTATTGAGTATAACAAATTAGAAAAACTTGGGCACCTAATCATATTGCTTCTGGAATAAATGTTGCTATCCAAAAGAGTCTTCAAATGAGCACTCTGCTGGATCACTGTAAAAGTGAGGCAGAATGTCAAGTGCAGGAACCTGAAATGAAATTGCTGTTGAAAGTGTTCCAGGATAATCCATAGATCATCAAAGCAATTATGAGATATATTAAGGAAGGAGAAGATAATAGATAGCCAACTTTTCTGGAACTGTGATACTTTATTGATAAGTTATTGCAAAATTGACTTAGAGATACATTTCCTTGGTCACAATTTCTCTCACCACAACTACCACAGGTGGTGGTAGTGAGAGATGAGTTATCATTGAATGCATGTTTGCCAAATTGCAACTACCAATAAATAACTTATTAAGCACGGTAAAACTACAAATATATTTAAATGTTTTCTTTCTCTGTCTCTGGCAAATTTTTTAACAGCACTATTTTTTTGGTGCCAAAATAAAAATTCATGCAGTGTAGAGTTAATAACTTCTGATAATCCAGTTGCTAAAATCACAAGTACTGAATTTTTTAATTTTTAAAAGTTAACAAGAAATATTCTAACGTAATTTTTCTCACTAAATTTTTGGGCTTTTTTTAAAAGTCTACGTGCAAGCATATATAATTGTTGCCATTCCAAACTATTCAGTTTTTATGACTATTTGAAAAAACTAAGAAACACAACAAAAATACACAGCTTAACTATTCTCCTCGAATGCATTCCCAATTAAATTTCTTTAGGAATTTTAAATTGGATTTATTATTATAAATTTCCTAAATTGTGTTCTGGTCTGGTAAATAGTTTTTATCCTTCGGTAGAAAAAGCGCTGTCTGATGTTTGAGAAAGTTATTTCCACTTCCTTGGGGGATTATTTGGTCATATTAGGCATTTATGTTTTCTCAAACAAAATATAAAAAATGGTAAGGGAAAATGAAAAAGAACTTATTCTGGCGGAAGCGAATGGAAATGGAAAAAACCATGTGACATACGTAATTTTTTATAACTAGGTTTATATGAACTAAATACATGCAGGGGAAAAAAAAAAAAAAAAAAAAAAAAAAATAAGGGGAAATCTTAAAAGTTTAAAATGCTTTATTCTTAAAGACACCAGGGTATAAAATATCATCAGTTAAAAATTTGTAGTAATCAATTTGAGTAATAAAACTAATGATGGCATGCAGTTTTTCCGGAGCACACAATTATGGGGGGGCTGTAACATATGAGCACAACAGCAAAATTCAAAGTTTATTGAAACTATAATTGTCGGGGATTTCTGGTTAGAAATAACATAAGGGGACCGGAAAAGGGTTTCATTTCAAATCCGCTTCTGTCTACAGGGGTAAAGTTAGGGTATTCACAAATGGAAGTATCTGTCATATGCGGGTATGCTAGAAATACATGTATTGATATCAAATTTTTAGGCAAATGTATAATAAGGGGAAAGCCTGCACTACGAGAGGGCGGTTTTTGTGAGGAAAGAAGGGCTTTTTATAATTTTTCTCCGGGACTTATTCTCCCAGTTTTAACCGAACCTTGTTCTTAAGTTTTTGCTCTGCCTTCAACCGGTTTGGTTTCTAGAAATTTTTTACTTTAACAAGCCCATTTTTTTTTTCGTTTTGTGTTTTTAGTTCAAATGTGATCTCATGATTCCAGTGCGCTTATTTAAGAATACTTATTTTGTAGCTCAAATTTTTAATTGAAAGGACACACGAAAGCAGCTCTCACATATTATCTGGCCTTGAACTCTTTTTTAAATGCTGCGAATGTTATTCAAATAAAGCATTTTATATATGTATTTTTGGAAGCAATTATTTCATCTTGTTAATCTTATGTATTTTAAAGTATAATTAGCATGCTTTCTGTGATCATAGGGAAATATTTGGATAAATTGAACAAACAATTTATTGTAGTACGGAGATCGTTTGTTCCTTCCTGAACCACAAAAAACGTTCGAAGACGTATACATAAAATTTTATTTTACGATGTGAAACACACGCACACACATATATATGTATATACAGGGTGTTTCAGTATCATGTTTCAAAAGTTCTGGCAGGGGTTGGGTGCAGCCCAGTGATTCGAATCATAATTCAAAATGTAAACAATGCATTATTTATCTTTAGGAAATCAAGTAACAATATCTAAAATTTCATTTTGTTTGTTGAGCGATAGCCGCTAGGGTTTATCGGGGAATGGTTGCATGACCACTCTAGGAATTCCATAGTAGCTGATTGTTTGTTTAGCGAATTGGCTTAATATTCTGTATTTTCTTGTACTATGGTTTTCATCCAGTCTTTTATTGCTTTTAATCTAGTGAAAGTAAGGCAAGCTCATTAGAGATTTGGATAAAGGAGAAAAGCATGGTTTTTATAGAGATCCCTCCCCCTTCCCACACAACACACACAGAATTTTGTTTTTAATGCTAAGGCTGTTAAATTTTTCATTGTGTCTAAGTGTCCAGTTATTAAAGCATGAAATAAACAAATTTACAAATTTAAAATTTATTTTACTTCATTAACATACTTCACAAACTGATTACATTATCCATAAGTTATATAATCAGTAACCAAAAAGTGTAAGTAAGTTTACGTTTGGATACAATGCCATACTTGAAAAATTATCCAACATTCATTCAGCTAAAAGATAAAATAATATACTGAGGATAAATATGTCATCTAAGTATAGTGAATATAAGACGCAGGTTTCAAAAATCATTTACACACTGGTGATTATGTCTTTATATTTTCTTATTTGTCTGTTGTGCAACTGAAGGTTCTAAACAGTTTTAAACTGATGAATGCATAGTATTATGTAGTAAAATTCGTAGATTTCTGTAATTAAAGTTCGCAATTTATTTTTCATTTAGAGTATTTTATTGTTATTTACACAAGATTGATGATGATGATTTAAAAATTTCATAATTTTTAATAGACACCTGGTAATTATAGCAAATTTCATAATATTTGAATAGACATCTGATAATTTAAGCAAATTTCATAATTTTTACTAGACATCTGGTAATTTTAGCATTTACTACTGCTTGCCATCTGAGCAATTTAATACTTCGAATCAGGACCGGGTGGCAGAATTTTAAGAAGCACCAAGTAGCATAATTTGGGAATGGCAGATTTTTAGAATTTAAGGGAGGCACTAGACACCAGAATTTAGGGACCTAAAACTTTTAGAATTTATAGAGTCAAGAACTCAAGGTCACTGGGCAGTGGAATTCATAGAAATTGCAATGGGCGGCAAAATGCCTAGCACTGGCCGTTACTCTTTCAGTTAATGTAAAATTCACTGTGTCCCAAATAGTAATTTTGAAGTGATAAAATTGTGTGTTTGTATTAAAATATTAAGTAGCGTTTAAAAAAAAAAAAAACTTTTGATTTCATTCTTTTGTATCATTATTTTCTCAACTTAGAACTTTAAAATCAGTTTTGCAGAAATACTTAGATACGTAATTTTGTCTTTGGGAGAATTCAGAATTCACAAGAACAGACTGGATTTGATTTGTATATTACAAAACAATAATTAAGGTGACTATAAATAGATTTTTGTTATATCCTTTGAGTTGCTCTTTTGGTTAAAGGAAATTAAGTAAGTGTTAGCATTGCATTTGCTGATATGTATGGAATTTTTCTTTTTTGCCGTCTTCCGAAAAAAACTTTCTTTTTTATTACTAATAGTAGTAGTATTATAGTAGTACTACTATTATTTTCTGCATCACCTTTAATAAGGAAGTGCTGCACATCAAGTTTTGACTTCCTTTATACAAGGTCTACTTTCCAAAGTTTTGTTTTAGCTACAGTTCACTGTTTACAACAGGAATTACAAAACATTCATTAAAGAGAATGGTGTGCAATTTGATGAATAACATCAAGCAAATCTTAAATATCTCTGAATCTTCCCAATTTAAGTATGTTTATAAAATGTTTCAATTAAATTATGAATTGCGATAATTTAGATTTCTTATACAAGTAATTTATTTCATATAAATTTAGAAACATTTTGAATAATCATCACATGTATTCGACATAATTGAAGTGGAAATAATAATTTTCTCAGAAACAGACATTCACTGCATTTTTCATATTTCGAATAATTAACTGGACCGTAATATATGACAAATTTAACTGGCGCATGCCTCTGCTCATTTATTTTACGCTGTATTAGGTTTCCCATTACTTTTTCAATACAGTTGAAAAAAAGACTTTATTGTTATGGCACAGAGCATTTGAAAATAATTTATACAAAATTCAGATATTGTAGTGTTTCCCGGGGAAAATGCACGTGCCATATTATTTGTTCTCTTATCTTCCGGAATATCTGGCTAAGCATTGGATCATTTTCACCTTTTTGGGGGCTTTAAATAATTGTTTACAAACAGCAGGTCATCACTTTCTCTTTAGAGTATTTGTTGTGTTTAATAAATGTCTATCCACATAAGCTAGAAATTTGAACACTAATATAAAATAGAACATAAATTGCAAAGTTTAAAGATATGTATTGATAACACCAATGTTCTAAAAAAAAAAAAGTTTTGCTTTAATTTTTGTAATATGTCATGAACAAAATTTCTTATCCATGCTTGCGTGTAATTATTTTTGTTTATTGGACATTGCGATAAGTATATTCGTAAGGGAAAGAAGTTGTACTTTAATTTGTACTTGGAAATGGTGTTGATGGTGGTTTTTTGTTTTGTTATCGTGACAGAAGTAATGGAGACTCTGTAAATCATTTGAGTTGTTAAATTTTTTGGTCTAATTCCTAGTTTAATGTTTGAAATTTTTTGTCTTATTTTTCTTAACTTTTTCATTTTACCGCTCCCTAGTAATATTAGCTAGATCTGCTGTCCTCGTATCTGTTTATTATATTTGGGGCTTTTAAAATACGATGGTTTGTCTTTCTAACCCATTTGAGACAGTTTCCTTAGTTTCCTATTCTAAAGATTTAAGGAAAAATTGTTGTCCAGCTAATTTTGATACTTTTGAACTATTTGTGTTTCTGATCTTTATCTTGAATAACCAAGCTGTATTGTGATATTTCGTATTTCTGAGACTATTTGAGAAAATATTTTTCAATTTAACTAGTTCTATTTACTAGTTTGACAAATGTATGCACAGAAGGGCTAAAACATCGTTGTGTGATAATATGTTTTCCTGACAGGTGGCATGAGCAGCGTGATGCAAAACGCGGTTATCTTGGATTACTGATAAGTAATGCTGGAAAGTAATAAGTATGTTGTATGATTGGCCACATAACTTGTAATCCTTGTGTTGTGTCACAGATATTAGTAACGGAGGTGACGCAGAAGTATCAAACATAGGAATTCGGTTTCAGTCCGTACACAGATAAATGCTTTGTACCGGAATTCCTAATGCAGACAGAAACAAAAGCTCTTAGCAACAACTGGCCCAAAAGTGCCAAACAGCACCAAAACAAGGGGGCACGATTTTTGAGGCACGTCGTGCAATGGAACACAAAGTAGCACGAATTTGCAAGTTACATTATATTACATTCTTGAAAACGCGTTACATAAGATCGGCTGAAATAAAATACATCAAACCTCGTAGATGCATTACATTTGACAGTCTGTGGCTGCAAATGTTGTGTGCGCGTGCACCACTTTTACACCCTGTTGTGGGTGCTGCGGACGACTAGATTTGTTTCTTTACACTAAATATTTTGTGTCGATCGTCATCAAGAAGTCCGATAGCTTTCCTTGCTAATTCCACCTATCCAGTTTAGCATTTCGTATTTTTAAAAATTAACGTTAAAACTAGTAATAATTTAAAAAAACTCTTGAATAAAACAGTACCTTGCGCTAGGCAGCTCCTCTGAAACGACTAGTTTTCTATAAAATCAATGTCGATCTGAGTCTGTATTTGGCGAAGTTTTAAATTTCAAACTGATATTTGTGCTTCTATCCGTGCATTATTAAACTGATACGACAGCATTAAATCTTAATACAATATATTCTTTTTTTTTTTTTTTTTTCTTTTCTGGTCTTCAGTTATGTCGTATACATGTGTCTTAATGAATGCGTAGAGCATTATTAATTATGCGAGAGCAAATTTTTCTCAGGTATTTGTGTTTATCGCACAATGTAAGTAAAAGGATTTTAAATCAAGAAATGTTACGTTAACATAAGTGTGAAAATGCATACTCAATTAATTTGATTGTACTTTATTTCTCTCCCAGCTGATAGAAAAGCATATAACCCATGGAGAACGACGAATTAATATTCTTTAAACAATGCTACAATTTTACTGCATCTACCTTACCCAAATGAAACCTGCAACAGTTATAACTTATACTGAAGTATATAATTTCAATTAAAAAGACCGCATATCAACTCTTCAATATTATACAATGGAAAAAGATCTATGAGCTAAAAGTAGTTAGTAAAATAATATAATTTTGGGAGATCTCATTTTAAGAATAAATAAAATCAAAATATTGATTGATTGGGTTATCAAAGAATGATTTTCATAAACGTGTAAAATTTGCAATTTTCCATTCACTTGATATTAATAAAGTATTTCCTATTCCTGTGTACTTCTCGTTAATTTTTACTCAAATAGGGAATGAAATTATAGAAACAGATTTTAATTTGCCTGTACTTCTTTATACTGCGTGCTAATATGAAATGAAATGAACATTTCCATACGAAATGTTCATTTCTTGTGGAACGTTTATTATTCGATACATTGGGATCAAAACTATTTGGCTTCGTACTTGTCATTTTACAATACATTTGTTTCGTCGTTTATTGTTCAAAACGTATTATATGTCATTTCACTAAATGTCGATTGAGACGGAGTCTATTGTCTTTTGTTTTTACAAAGACTACATAATTATTTCATCAAAATATACAATTTTTCGCCTAATTTTATGCATATATACACAAAAAGCTTCTTATTATACAGTTCTGCTACAAAGCTGCAAGTATAAAAACAACATTCGAATAAGAGGGATTGTTGACAAATTATCCTCTATTACAGTTTCGAGCTACAAATGCTTTCATAGCTTTAGAACCTTACTGAAAATTAAGAATATCACTTCAGAAAAATCTAACAGATAGACAGCTAATATGAACTCATTTTTCTCTAGAAATATCATTAAAATTTACGTTTCATATATGCAAATTTGCGATACAGCAATATGTAACAAAGCTTCATAATTTTTTTTTTTTTTTTTAAATAAGCATTCTAAAAAATGCAATATCTAGTAATAAGGATGCTTCGCGGGATGCATGGTGTTACATTAGGAGCCTAAGAAATGTTACATTAGCTGATTTCTAGTAAACATTTGCTTTGTGCTTGTAAAAGTGAAATAATAGATTAAGGGAACCCATCTCACTGAATATGAGAAAATAAGTATATCATCTTGTTATACCGGCAACTTTGATCATTTAATTAGCATTTCCGATTAAAAATATTTGCAAATTTCTTTCTTAGGTGTTTTAGTGTCATTCACTTTTTACATTTACACGAATTTACACACTGATTAATTCCTCAGTAAGTAGTTATTAGAGTTTATATTTGAAGCTCCTTATGAAGATACATGGGATTTGTTACAAATCATTCGTTTTTATTGAAGAACCCCATTGCTTGTTCGCAGGAAGTAATTTTTTGGGTGTTTCTGACGGATGAATTTCTGTAATTATTCAGAGTCGATCAAAATAGTGCAGAACAGACATTTCTGCATAGAGGAAGTTGATCCACAATGGTAACTGAGTGAGAAATACTCCATGGTGGTCTAATAAAAGAAAAAAGAACAATATTAATATCCTGTCGAAATTAATAATATAGGGTGTCCACAAAAGTCCCCGGACAATTTTATTCTATAATTGTGGGCACCCTGTAGGAGGTTGTGCTGTAAATTTTTGTGATGCTATTAAACGTATATCGATTTTTTTGTTTCCCTACCAATTGGTTTTACAGGATTTGGGAATCCAAAAATCTCCATGTCACAAAGGAGCTGAAGTGCTGCAGCCCAAAAGCAAGTGCTTGGTGTGAGACTCTGCATGACAAGACTTTTGAACCATTTTTTTTTCTACTAACAGACAATAACAGTTGGCGTGCATCTCGAAAAATAAATTAGTTATACACTGACTACCAATAAGTATTTGGTCACCTGTGATAGAAAAGAAAAACTAACTTTATTCAAAATCAATAGTTGGTAGAGCCTCCACGAGAGGTAATTACAGCGTGGACCCTCCGGGGCATACTTTCCACAAGTTTTTGTATGACAGCTAGTGGTATTTTCTTCCACTTGGCTTGGAGAAGACATAGAAGTTCCTTCACCGATTTTGCACGAGTAGTGCACCCCTGAATTCGGCGATGCAACTCGTCCCAGAGATTCTCGATAGGGTTCAGTTCTGGACTCTGGGCAGGTGAGTCCATTCGATGAACTCCATTGGCACCATACCAAGCTTTGGTTAACGTCGAAACATGACAACTGGCATTGTCGTCTGAAAGTAACAGGGGTCCAACCCGTAAAACTGCCACAACGTAGGAAGCACATTGTCATCCAAAATAGTGCAGTAGGCATCGGAGTTGAGCTTACCATGAATGGGGACCAAGGGTCCCAGCCCGTACCAGGAGAAACACCCCCAGACAATAATTCCACCTCCTCCGAACTTGACTGTTGGCACAATGCATTCTGGCAGGAGACGTTCTCCAGGTAGACTCCAGACCCAGACCCTGCCATCCGAACCGTAAAGGGTGAACCTTGATTCGTCACTCAAATAACCCGTTTCCATTTATCTACGGTCCAATTTCGATGTGCTTTGCACCACATTAGCTGAGCAGCGCGGTTGGACTTTGTGATCAAAGGCTTATGGGCAGCAGCACGACCATGAAACCAAGCAGATGTGCTTCCTTACGGATGGTATTCATTGAAGCAATACTCCCGGATGCCTGTTTAAACTTCTCGCGGATCAGGGCCATCGGTTGGGTGCGGTTCTTCTGAATTTCTCTGGACAGCACTCGTCGGTCTCTATCTCCCAGTTTCGTTGGTCTGCCGACTCGAGGCACATTCCGACAATCACCGCTCACCTTTCACTTCTTAATCACATAGGCCACTGTCGATTTTGGGTACTTCAGATCGCTAGATATGTACCTTAAGGATAGGCCACATTTGTGATACCCGATAATTATACCTTTCTCGAAATCAGAGACTTCCAAACTGCGAGGCATCTTGCATGCGACTAAAGCCGATGCTGTTTCCTACACGATATATACCGGCGTAGTCCGTGACGTAACTTAGGACCGCAGATATCGTCATTTGCATAGGTGTCCAAATACTTATTGATAGTCAGTGTATTAGCTCGTAGTTAGAGGGCCGTTAGCCAGAGAAACTAATGGTGCGCATATCGAGGTTGTGTCATTTGTCACAAAAACTTTGAATTTTGCTTGCGACCAGTACCAAAGGTATAAATTGTTCCAATCCTAAACAAGTAAAATTGTACAAAGACTTTGTAGACACCCTGTAGTTTTTGTTTGGTTACATATAATTTTTGATTTTCATTAAATAAGAGAAACCTTAATTCCATGCGCGCACAAATTTTCAAAAATAAAATGACACATTTAATACACTATATTTCGATTTTCTTTGCAGTGTGAAGGGAAATGTGTTTAAAATGCCTTTATGGCAGCTTTTCATCGGTGAACTGTTGATTAATAAACACATAATTGGCTAAAGATGGCTCAATGCTAAATGAATAATACAGAATGTAATAAATAAATAACACCGTTGTCTAAAATGCCTGGGGCCAACCAGCGGCCAAGCGGTAAAGTCGCTGAGCAATGGTAGTTCGGTCAGAGGTCCGAATCCCGTGAACGGGCTTGCTGCATGGGCGCTTTCGTGGTTTTCTCCATGTATAACGTTTATGAGAGTCAGTTTCCCTTAGAAAGTCCTCTAGGAAGGCCTCCCTTCTCTCAGGCAGACAGTCCTCGAAGCTCTGTCGTATTCATAGGAACCAATCTAAAGATGGCTGTAGGCTATAGTGTAATAAATAAAATTCTCATTTTTAAAGTAGATAATCAGTTTGTAATCGTATGATGAATAACACTGTAATGAAATAAAAGAAGAAAAAAGTATAGTCTTTCAATTTATAGAAATAAAACTGCATTCGTTGTCAGACGGGCCGCATACGCAAAGCGAACTTCCCGCTGGGTGAACTGACTGGCTGTATAAAAAGTTTTTGCGGTCTTCTATATGTGTAAAATAAGTACAGGTCACTTCCCTTTAGAAGGGCTTTTAGATTATTCGAATGTGGAAAAGCACAAGAGGGCTGTCTGCCTAAGCATATATGGTAAGTTGGAATCGACGCGTTAAATAAATATTAAGAATGCAAAATGAATATTTGGAATAAATGTTATGAAGAAAAATGAGAAAAACATGATTTGAACTTGTTATTCGGAACTCTACATGGGGATCTGAACTCATGGAACTGCATATCTATGAAACAGTTTCTTTTACGCCTTTATTCAAGATTGAATTCAATCATAATTTTTGCACAGCACCTAAAAATTAGGCAACAAAAAGTTGACTTAATGACTGCCATTTGAACAGACATTTTGCCAGTTATTTATTATATATACGTATTTACATAACTGAAAAAGTAATAAGTCGCTATAAAACCTGGAACTAAATCACGCGAAAAAGCTGTAGTAAATTTAGTGGCTGTAATTAAAAGAACCTTGAATAAATAAATTCATTTTCAAACATCTCATTAGGAGGCTGGCACCAACCCCCTGATGCGACGTTACTAGAAATGTAACATTTCGTTCTGCCTTTATTATATTTGGTTTTTTTCAATTTTTGCAAGTCTTTACCTTATAAGGTATTTCTCTCGCCTTCCTAGCGTGCCTTCGTGGTGTAGTGGTTCTGCACACTGGGCCGGTATTCCAGAGGTCAGTGGTTCGATTCCCGGCGAAGGCGATTGCTCATTTTTCATCTCTCTGTCTTTTTCAAATAACCTAATGCCTGTACAGTGGCGCCCGAACTAAAAAAAAAAGGGTGGTGGATGATGATTCTCCCCACCCAGGATTTGGCAATTGGGTCCCCTAAAAACCCCAGTCGCCCTTTAAAAGGGGGAGTATATAAGGTATTTATCCCGCCTTCCTAGCGTGCCTTCGTGGTGTTGTGGTTCTGCACGCTTGGCCGGTATTCCAGAGGTCCGTGGTTCGATTCCCGGCGAAGGCGATTGCTCATTTTTCATCTGTCCGGCTTTTCCAAATAACCTAATGTCTCTACAACCTGGCCTTTATTTTCACAACCATTGATACTAGACATACACTTGCTATTACAAAAATGTTTAAAATCACGCAAATATGCATGTTTTGGCATTTTTATTTAAAGAAATTAATTTTATAAAAATTACTAAATCTAATTTTATACTTGTATACATTCCTCCGGTCCGCAACCTTATATTTAGGAAAATTTTGTATTCGTTATTAAAAATAAAACGCAAAAGGTTTGCATTCCATACGATAAAAATTGACCGAGATATTTGATACCAATATCAGAAATCGTATTCAGGGAACGTATACAAATTGAAGAGCGAAATATTTGAATTTGTACATAACTAAAAATAAAATATTGGTTTAGAAAAGGGTTTCTGATGTTGTTACTAATCTCACTTTTCTGATATAATCTGAACAAGCCAATGAATTATTATCGTGGCAAGGACTATGTCTGTCGTTGGACAGAGCCTTGAGCACCATGCAGGTGACAGACCGACTTTATACTCAGCTGCGCCCCAATTTTGAAAGACAACACCAGGAGCTAATCCGAGGGTCTCCCGCCCCCTGTCTTCCCCTATAACTAACCTCTCGAGAGGACTTTAGGCTCGCTGCATATTTTGAGTGCTCCTTGCCGCACAGACACTACATACATTTAAAACATCCATGCCTTCTCTGGGATTCGAACCCCTGTCCTTCGGTACGGTAGTCAGCATCGCTAGATTTCGAGTTCTAGAAAACACTAATATTCTTCAGAATTGGCACTTAGTCAACTTGTGATATAACATAAATTAAAAATAAAAAAAAGTATTTGTATTTTAATGATTTTTTTCTGCGATTGAGTTATAAAATCCATATCGTGGTGGTCACAACGTACCATCTGTCGTGTCACCCAAGGATTTCTTCTTTTAATATAAACCCGTGGGTGGCACGACAGATAGTATATTGCCCCAAACATGATATAGACTTTATAACTCGGTACGATTACTAGATTATGATTGTAACGTAAAAAGAAAACTTCAGCTAAAATATATTAACGTATTATTAGATCTTAAAAACTTATAAATAATTTGTGTGAATATTCTTTCAGCATATCAAAGGTAATAAAATTATAAATTTTAGGGTTTTATTTTATTTTCCTAACAATTCATTTTTAATTTGAAAACAGCTTTTCCTTTACACCCTCATTTTCCTACCTACGCTTTCCTGCCAGAATGAATTTTCAGTTTCACGTTTTATGCAAATTAGGGTGGAAACTAATGTTTAAGTTGAGGTCCATACGATAAAAATTGCTACTTCAGACAAAGCGCGTTCCACCTGTCGACCACGTTGTTGCGACTACTTAAAGCTTGCTATTTTACGGCGTGCATATAAATTGCCTGTTAATCGACGTAGGTGATGTTAGCCAAAGATCCGACTAAATGTTAAATATCTCTGTGCAGCTTCGGCTGATTATTCAACTTAGAATTAGTTTAAGTTTACATTTTCTACTTTAAAGTTAAAGCCATA